CCGTAGTGCCTGCACCCGTAGTGCCTGCAGCCGTAGTGCCTGCAGCCGTAGTGCCTGCAGCCGTAGTGCCTGCAGCCGTAGTGCCTGCGGCCGTAGTGCCTGCATCCGTAGTGCCTGCAGCCGTTGTGCCTGCAGCCGTAGTTGCAAGGCCAGTGGCTGCAGCGGTGCTAGCCACAGTGCTCGCTGCTGCAGTGCCTGCCACAGTGCTCGCTGTCGCTGCAGCGGTGCCAGCAACTGTTGTAGCTGCTGCGCCGGTCGTGCCAGCGACTGTGCCTGCAGCTGTAGTCGCCGCCCCGGCAGCGGTTCCAGCAGTAGTCATCGCGCTTGCAGCTCCAGTACTTGTGGCTCCTGCAGCTCCAGTGGTCGCTGCTCCAGTTGTCGCCGCCTCAGTCGTTACTGGTTCGGGTGTCGTTGTCGTCGTGATTATCGCAGTTGCGACGCCCTTGATAGACACCTTCCCACTTCCGATGATTGCATCGCCGTCAATGGCAACCTCCATTCTCTCCTCGAACTCGTCCAATTTGGCATCGGGCAAAGACGAGCCTGCCCACATCTCTGTGTCAAGATAGTCCAAGAGTGCCTGTGCGTCCATGCCACTCGTTAATTGGCAGAAGTTCAGCGTGACAGCGTAGCTTCCTTCGGCTACGGTAGCCGTGTCTTGTACCGTGTTCACGAAGTCGATGCGAGTTACTTCGGTCTCGACCGGAGTTGCACCTGTGAGCGGAGGTAGCGAAGTGACGCTGCTATAATAAGGAGAACTGCTTAACCAATTGCTGACGCCAGTTGCGTTCGCGGTGACCATGGTGTCCAAAACGGTGTTGATCGCGTGAGTGGTAGTTTTTTCGAGAGCGACACGAGGTCCAGCGCCACTGTCTTCAAAGTCTGACAAGTCCAAAGCGGAGCCACCTGGAGCCGTCTTGTCGATGCTCAGAGTAAATTCCAACCCACGAGAGATGCACGGCAAAGTCGTGGTCGAAGTCTGCGTCGTACTGGTTTGCGTGGTAGTCGTGATCGAGACCGTTGACGTTGTGGTCTCCGTGGTTGTCGAAGTTGTCGTTGTGGTTGTGATGACGGACGTTTGCGCCTCTCCGAGGGTGATACCATTCAAATCCGACTCCTTAGCAAAGGCGGCTTCGGTCAAATTCTCCCACCTGTACACTGCAGCATCCGGCAATGCATTCACTGGCCAAACTTCGTTATCTAAAGCGTCAAGCAACTCACGAGCAGCATCTCCTGCACCCGCTAAGGCACAGAAGCTCATCGTCGCTAAGTATTCGCCTTCTCTTACCGTCAAATTGCCTCCGGAAGAGGACAAAATTTCCATCTTGGTCTTCGTTGACACTGCAGACTGAGCTGAAACGTTGAAGTTTGCGATTCCGCCACTTCCGGACAACAGAGTCTTGACGTCAGTGTCGTTGACATCCGCAAGCAATTCGTCCATGACGGTGTTGATCGAGGTTTCAACGCCGTCGACAAGCAAGGGCAAAATGCTGCCGCCATCCGCGATGATGCTGTCTAGAGTCAAACCTGCTTTCGCTATGGTTGTATCTAGCGAAAGCGTGAATTTCAGTCCGCGGTCCAGACAGGGCAGAGTCGTCGTGGTTGTCATCGTAGAGGACGTCGTCGTTTCGGTCGATGTCATCGTCGACGTCGCACCCGGCGTCGTGGGTATCAGTGTTGTTGTCGGAGACGGTGTGGTGGACACAGTAAAAGTAACCGTCGTCGTTGTCGTAGAGCTTGTGCTGGTCGTGCTAGTCGTCACCGCTTTCGGTACCAAAGAAGCAGGCACGAACGCGATCACATCTTTCAAATGCTCGTTATCGGCCACTGCATCTTGGATCCTCGTGGCGAAGGCCGCAGCCAAAGAAGCGTCCAGGAATGTGCTATTATCAGGATCCCACAAGTTCGCAACGGAATCCAACACTGGTTGAGGTCCGTTGATACCTAGGTAAGCCTGTAGAGTGAGATCGCCGCTAGATGAACCTGCACGAAGCAAGACATCGGCTTTCAGGTCAGCTTTCAGATGACGTCCACGACGATGCAACTTCTTTCTCCCCAAAAGAGAAGAAGAAGATGAGGATCCATCTGAAGAAGCTCCTTTGCCCGCCTTCTTCTCGTGTAGCTGCTTGTCCACTCCAAGTGTACCTGGCAGAGCAACCATTGCGTTCCGCCTGCCCGTCTCCACCAGGTAAGGCGTTCCTCCTGCTAGCGTAGCGAACAGCGAAGCTGGGAACAGCTCAGTGCTGTAGCCAATCGGAGAGTTCGTGAAGGAGATCCCAGTTGCGTTGGATAATTCTTCGTCACAGAAATCCACCAAAGCTTGGAAGATTTCTGATCTCAGATAGCTGTTCTTCGCCAAATCAACGTCCGTCATTGACGTGCCGTTGAGGAGGTTAAACGACAACTCCACTCCACGGTAGGTCCAGGGCAACATGGTTGAGGTAGACGTCGTTAGAGTTGTGGTGGTTGCAGTCGCCGTTGTCGAAGTCGCGGTGGACGTGGTCGTGGAAGTGTCAGTCCCGGTGCCAGTACCTGTAGATGTGGAAGTCGAAGTACTAGGCTCAGTCGACGATGTAGTCTCGCCAGCTGTGGATGTTGTCGCGTTTGCTGTCGTCGTCAAATTTGCTGTTCCTGTAGTTGTTGTCGCGTTCAGTGTGGTTGTTCCTGCAGTCGTTGCTTCCGCAGTCGTGGTGGCTGGCATCGTTGTCGCTGGCAACGGCGGCGCCGTCGTCGTGGGCGGTGCCGGAACAGGGCCCAAGACGTAATCCGTGATTGCGGTGTCAGCAGTGACAGGCACAGTGACATTCTTCGCCACATCGGTATACTGAGCCTGGCCGAATCGCCTACGGATTTCAGCCAGCAAGTCCGTCGCCACCACGTCCTCGAGACCTTTGTCCGCTTCCGCATGCCATTTATCGCTAATCAACTCGATCTGCGACTGCGCACCACGGAACAAAACCTGCAGAATGATCGCACTAGATTCGACACTGGCCAGGGAATCGTAGACATTGTAGCTCGAGTTCTTCTCGTCGTGCGTACTCGACGCCAAACTAAGTTCCAAGTCGGTCTCTGCCCTCATGTAGTTGTCCACACGGGCATCGTTTCGGAACGAGTCCGTCTCGAAGACTATGGTCGAGGTCGCCGCAAGAAGCAACTCGCGAAGAGCTTCGCCGATAACCTTGTCGGATACCAGCGCGCTCGCTGGCCGCAACAATGCCGACTCAATCTTCAACTGCAACAACAGCTCACGCTCCAAGCTCACCACAGTTGTGGTGCTCGTTTCGGTGTTTGTGGTAGACGTAACTGTCGTAGAAGTGGTCGTTGTCGTCGTGATCCTCACGTCGAAAGCGCCTGCCTCTTCGTCGATTTCGAAATACTTGCTCAAGAAGCTGTTGTTCGCAACCTCCTCAGCCAAGTAGTCTCCTAGGTTGTCGCGGAAGGATTGGTTCCTCAAGGAATACCCACTCAAACCACTCCAGAAAGCCTCTACCTCTTCGCGCTCCTGTCCGTTGACAAAGTGAATACCAATCTCGGCAAGAAGCATGTCATTGCTAAAGTTGAAAGTTGCATTTGCGCCGACAGCTGCAGCTCGATCTTCCTCACCTTTTTCGTCCACGTTTAAGAGAGCAGATGGACGAGACGAGGCATCTTCAGCTGAGGCATCTTCAGCTGGGCTTTTATCGTCGCTAGAAGACGAAGTAGCTCGACTCGCAGACTGATCTACTGAATGGTTGTCAACATCATCATCGTCGTCTTCGTCGACACCGGCAGCAATTAAAAGCATAGCCTCGCCATCTTCTTGTACACCCTTCTTCCCGTGCTTCTGCAGAAACTTTCTAGAGGATTCCAGTAAACTGGTACCTCCGGTGGCTCCTCGAGGAATGTAAGGTCCGAGATCACCGTCCACTAACACTTCGAGGTCATCCGTCAATCGCTCGACATGGGCGTAGAAGCTCATTCTTGCCGGATCTAGTCCCGGCATGTTGCTTAGCGGCAACATGTCGTTGACAACCAGTTTCTTCGTAGCGTCTTCGACTTCCTTGTTCAAGTAGAAGTGCACCCATTTGTCGTTCATCACGTCGGAGACGCTGGCGATCGTCGTGTTAGTCGTGCTCGTGTTGCTCACGTTAGCAAAGAAGTTCAGCTTGAATCCAAAGCCACGATACAAGCTTGCAACTGTCGTGGAGGTACTCGTGGTGGTCGTGGAGCTCGATGACGTTTCGGTCGTTGTCGTTTCCGTTTCCGTGGTGGTCGTTTCTGTTGTCGACGTTGGTGTCGACGTTGTCTCGGTCGTGGTCGTTTCCGTTGTTGTCGTGTGCGTGTCGGTCGTGGTAGTAGTCGTTGTGGTGGTCGGCTGGGGACCAGGCAGCACAGCTAGAACCTCGTTCCACGGATAGCCGACTGTGTAGATCCACTTACGCAAACTCTGCTTCAGGATCTCCGCATCTGCACCTTGCAACTCCCAGCCATTGCCCCACTCATAGGGGTAGTAACGCGGTCCGCGCCACTCGACCTGGACGAACGTGCGGAAAACCCGATAGAGGATGCCTCCCGTCGTGTTTCCGGCTAGAACTGAGGTATTGGCCGTAACTTCGGTTGTAAGAGTTCCGGCAATGTCTTTTGTCACGTTGAAGCCGATCTCTCCGGTGAAAAGGATGGAATCATTTGTGTCGTTTTTGCGTCGAAGGAGAGCTGCTTCAGCTTCATCTGACTCCAAACCCGATCGTCGTTCCAACAAGAACGGCGCTTTCGTAGAAGATGCTCCTGCTGTCGTGTTGAGACCATAGGCTACGACGTCCGTGGTATTGATTACTTCAAACGTTGGCGTGTTGATGTCGCTCTTGGTAATCGGGAACTCATCGAAGCGGGTCTGATTCGAGAACCAGTCAAAGACCGCCTCTGCCAAAGCCTCTGTGACTTTGCTCTCCTTCTTGTAGTCTAGAGATTCGAAGTCTGCCGCTTCCAAGTCGCCATCGACCTTGAAGTCGACGTAGAACTTCCTAGTTGCGTCGACAATCACCTCTAAGGGTCCGATTGTGGTCGTGCCTGTGATCGTCGTGGTCTCCGTGATGGTCGTGGTTTCGGTTGTTGAGGTGCTCGTTGTGCTGGTGCTCGTCTCCGTTTCGGTCGTGGTCGTCTCGGTTGTGGTCGTGGACGTAGAACTGGTCGTGGAAGTACTAGAAGTGGTCAAGCCCGTGTCGTACACATGCTTGCCCTCGAACTCCCATACCCAGATTTGCGTAGTGATGTTAAACCCAAACTCTTCCAACTCGTAGTTCATCATGGAGTCGATCAGCACCTCGTCCTTGCCGACCAATCCCGTCGTAGGCCAGATCGTCACTGCTTGCTCCACCTCATCCGCATCCAAGCGTAGAACAATATCAGCCGCAACGCTTTCCAACCTACCAGAAACAGAGTAGTTCGTTGGTCTACCATAATTGTGCGGACCCACATTGGCGCTGTGCGACTTGTTCGGGTTGCTCACCATGGTGTGATTCGGATTGATCGAAATGTTCGGAGCCGTGCTCAAATTGGTGCCGTTGTTGGGATCTTCAAGGCCAGTCTGCAAGAAGGAAGGCATGAAAGAACTGGAGGAAACTGTAGCTGGATCACGTTGCTCTGTCGTCTCGTCAGCGTCATAGTCGTGATCTAGGATACGGGTATCCGCGTGTCCTCTCCTAGTCCTAGATGATCTCTTAGTCTGAGCACTCTCGCGTCGACGAGCAT